TTATGACCAAATCGACCTAGAAAGGTCTAAATTTAATTTGAGTTCAATATTTTAAGTTTAAACCTTGTATTTATTTGAAAAAAAGTTGGGGTTGGATTATTGCAAGCTTTAGTAAATCAAGTCAAAGAATCTTGATTCAATCCAAACTTCTAAAGTGAAACTTAAGTTCAATGAAAGCCTATAATTTGTAAAAGTGTTGTGCGTTAAACTAATATCAAAACATAATTAGACAAATTTTAAAAAAAGCCCAAATTCAATTTGTTCATGATTTAAAGTCTAAGACCTACGTTTTTATTATATAAGTTCTAATCGAGTTGATTAACCCTAATCATTTACTCACCTTTAGTAAAGACTAAATAAGATGTAACATAATTATTATATTTAAACTCTAAAATAATATAGCAAACTTGATAACATATTATCTTTCACAGAAGTTATTACAAGGGCAATATCAAAAAAGATGCAAGATAAATGAACTCGTAGTGATGGTAGAAAATCTAAGCTTCTTTTAAGTTATAAATTAATCATCGATCTCTTTGAGGATTTTTAGTAAAGTTACAAATCATCAATTTCATCTTTAATGTAAGTCTGTATGAAAAAGATATAAAAAAACACCAAATTTGATACCAACTCCTATGTTTATATAAAAATTAGTACTAATGACAATTCATGCTAGTATAGTAGTTGACTTATTCTTGTTTATTTTTTAATGTTAAAACTTATTCTTGTTTATTTTTTAATGTTAAAGGAATTAGAATTGTCATCAAAATGAATTAACTCGAGATAGTCTACTTGAGTAGGTTTATCACATTAAAATAATATAATGGCAAGAGAAAGGGACATGAAAGAGAAAGATAGTTACTTGTTTGATAGCCTTTTACAAAACAATTGTTATAGGGTTACAGCATTATAAGTGTCTTTTTATATGACTTTGATGGTGATTATAAAGAAGTCTTGGTGAAACTGTACATGGTGGGAAAAAAATTGCAGCTTTAAGAATGAGAAAAATATTGAATTATTATTCAGTGGACTTGTCTAGTAAGTGTGCATAGGAATAATGGGGCAAGATGCTAATGAGAGACTGCAGAAGAAGAAATAGAGGTGTTGGATTTTGGAAAAAAAACAAAACCTACTATTTTTGTGCTAATGCATAATAAATAAGGGAGGTGAAAGGGAAAAATAAAGTGATTTCTTGGTCACCTTAATTTAAATACGAGTGAGTGTGAGTCATGAGTTACATAATTGAAATATTATAATATAATTTTAAATGAATTAATTTTTAGTTTGTTCTAACTCAATTTTAAGACACAAATAATCATGACTTACTTTAATGTCTATATTCTACACATGTGTATTAAGTTCATAAAAACAAACTTATCTTAATTTTTATAATAAAATGGAATTAAATATTAGTCCACCTATTAAATAAATATCTACACGTAATTATAAAATGAAAGTTGCATTAACATATTTAAATTGTTGGGAGAAATGATTTATTTTCCTGAATTGTATAAATCCATGTACGTAAGAAGTTGCTTTCAATTGAGTCATATTAATTGATTGCACAGGTGCATTTAATTAGATGTACCAAAAATATCTCTCCTACTCCAAGTATACGACCATGCTTTATAAAGCCAAATCAGCAACAAATTAAATAACATCATAATCACTCCTTACCAACTCTCACAAAATCTCTTGTTAGGTTTCTGACCCACCTAAGCCACACATTAGATTCATGATTTCAACCCAATCCCCAATGCCATAGTGCTCAACATCTCTATCCAATTTTATATGGCTAAATCTTTTGTATGTTTGCATTTCATCGCGAGTTTATAGTTTTTGAAAATAATAAATAATTATTTTTGCAATAAGCTTACCATAATTTTATAGACATTATTAGAATTTTAAACCACAAAGCTAAACACATTAATTCACGAATTTCTCTAACATCCATTTTTAGAAGGTCCCACAAATACACACCCAACCCCACTTTTTCAACCCATCCTCACGTGCCACCACACATCATGGACTCTCTGTTCACATAATTTTTTTAATTTAATTTTAAGAGTTCAATATTTATACGTTTTAATATGATTTTTGTAGTTATTTGTTATAAAATAAGAATTATTATATAGTAGTTTGTGGTTAGAAGATAATATATTGTAATTTTAATTTAATATATTATTTATTTTTATTATAATAAATGAATTTACTAATGAATTGATGAGATGAATGATAAATAAATGACATTTATCATTCCTAAATATATAAAAATGTAAAAATTTACTAAATCAACCAATATTAGCATAATTTTTTTTATATAGAAAAATTTCAAGAAAGTACTTATATGTATCATATACTAAAGAGATTAACGAGGACATAATGTACGACCTTATCTTTCTTTACTCAACTAACTTTTTAAGATTATTCTTTATATAATTTTAAAAATAATTATTACACGATTTATTACTAAGCCATAATGCAAAATCTTATCACACTCTCATTATAAACACTGTTTACCTTTTATTTCTCAATCATTTTGTTTTTGTTTGAGTTGTAAATTATATCAATTGACATTATTATTATCTAGAATCTATTCTTGACAAAGTTAATTTTAAGTAATCAAACAAAATTGAATTACGTGTTTGAATTACTCTTAACTATTCTGCCAAAAAGAAAGTTACTCTAAACAATCCTACCAAAGGAAAATTAAAAGGACATATTTTTGGTTTAAAAGGGCAAAAAATATTTTATAATGTCAAAAGCGAGACATACCGCCATTATTAACCAATAAAATGTAGGTACTTGTTAGATCCTCGAGTCAAAGAAAAAAGTTTTCTTTGCATTGTTAATCCATATAATATCATGTAGCTTTAATATTAAAGATATGTTTCGAAATCTGGTGGCTGACGAAGCCTGAAACAAAGACTACACAGTCTACACTCCATCACAAATAGATGTTTTGAAATAAACAAATTTAAATTCTTCCATCACAACGATCTTAATAACTAGTATTAATTAACATTTACTTTTTTTTTTATAATAATTTTATAGAATATTAAATATTATAAATGATACAAATTTGTCCTTTTAAAATTATTTACTTGATAAATTTGTAAATTCATGCTAATAAAAAGAATAATATACTAAATTACCCTCATAAAATCATAAACACCGGTTAAGTTAATTTTTAAAATATAAAATATCATTTGATAATTTATAAATTAAAAAATCATTATATAATAATTTTAAAACTAAAAGGATATTTTTATAATTTGAAAAAATTAAATTAATCGATTAGTCTTATTCCCACAAAATGTATTTTCTTTTTTCACAAAACATAACATGGTATTTTAAGTGCTTTATTGTTATTCCTCAATTAAAATTAAAATTTCACTTTAATAATTGGTATGACAAAACTTTACATTAAAAATAATCTAAATTATTAAAATAAATTATAGTTGAGTACGATGATGCAAGTTTTGTCCTTTTTCTTTGGTCTGTCATTGTTATATAGCAATATGGTACATCTCTGAGCATCTCACATGGCCCATCTCAATAATGGATCATCCCTACATTGATAAAGAAATATGATAATTTTAAGACATAGCAATAATCCACCAATTTCTTAGTCCTAAACCTTGAAAAACCCAAGTCATATATTCTCAATTACACTCATAATTAGATAAAGATGTACGGAAGCCCGAGGCTAGTTTACCCTAAGAGAAAGAAAAATATATGTATATATAATGTTAATGAAAATTAAGTAAAAAATATCTATTGAAAAATAGAATTTTAATTATTCTTTTATAATATTAAATTCGTAATTTTGATACCTTTATTTTTAATTTATTAATTTTAGTCTCTCAACCTTATAAGATTTAATTATTTCATTGAAATTCATCTATAATTAAAGTTGTAATATTAATTGTAATTTTTTATTGAGTAAATAATAAAATGATTAATACTTAATAATATTTAACTTAATTTATATTTTTAATTCTTATTTTTTATTACATTTTTATCTCATTTAACCTCTTTTGATATAAAAATAAGAACTATTAGTTATTATATTATTATTTAATATTAATTATTATATTATTTATTTAATATCATATCACAATTAATTTAACAATTTTAACAATGAATGAATATTTAAGTAGAAAATCAGATTTACAAATTTTATAAAAGTAAAAACTAAAATTACATAATTAAAAATACAGGGACCAAAACTACAAATTTAATATTATGGAAGACAAAAATATAATTTAATCAAAAATAAAAATATCAACCAAATTTTCTAAAAAATTAGTAAATATTTTTTAGTTATAATATGATTAAAAAAATTGTTTATTTTAATTTTAATCCCGTAGAATAGTTTTTTAAAAACCAAATCTGCCATTTCTTCGAATTTTTGTACCAATAATGTTTATTTTAGTTGTTGTGACAAATGTTTATATGATGTAATATCTTTGTCATAAATTATTAAGAAAAAAATATTATGTAATGTAAAATAATTTTACATTATTATAATAATTGTAAATAAGAGTTTGTTGAGTTTTATGTTAAATAATAATTTGTAATTGATTAACTGTGTAAGTATATAATCATTAAATTTTATTATTAAATCAATACATTAATATAATAAACTATTTTTTTGGAAGGAGTATAATAAACTATTAAAAAGACTAATTTAATTAACAAATACATTCTAAAAGGGTAAAGTAATAATTTTAAATTTAGAGAATCAAATTAAAAATGAGGCCCAAAGTTAAAATAAAAAAATTATACTAGTATAATGTGAGTGTACCATAATTCATTCGTTGCTCTATACAATTTGCCAGCTATGTCATGATTGGTTAATGGTTAAACACAAGTCGCACCTTCCGTTTCTACTTTCTATGTCCTTGAAACTACCAATTTTTATCTGGAACAAAGTAAAACTGCAAAATAAATAAATAAATATTACAGAAATGGAAAGAGAAAGAAGAATTCAGATAAACTGGTCTGGTCCGGTCCTGATCCAACTCGAAAAAACAACACACTCCCTTGTTTGTTGCCTCTGTATAAAACATGCTTTAACACGTGTTTTTTCAACCTCATTGCCTCCGAGACTTTTCTTCTCACGCAGTTGCTTTCCTTCTTCTCAGTTCTTCTTCTAAAGAAAGAGAGAGAGAGAGGGTGTGTGTGTGTGTGTTTTCACTTCTCAATGAAAGGGGAAGTGAAAATGAAGTCAAAGATGAAATGGGTTGGTCTGTTTGGCCTTGTGCTTTCAGCCTTCTCCATCTTCATTCACTTCCTCCTTGCTAGATTCACACAAATGGGTGTTGCAGACTATGACTCCTCAGTCACAATCTTCTCTTGGAGACCCATCTTTGAGAAACCAATTCTCCCCACAAATGTAATCATCTAATCACACAAAGATCTCACCTTTTTCGTTTCCAATTTCTCCTTTTCTATTCAACTTCTTCAAGGGGGGTTTTCTTTGAATTGCTGCGGTGACCCCTATGTTCTAGGGAGTGTATGCTTTTCAAAATTTTGGCTGTGCTCAGGAAAATGACAAGGGTGTTACATTCAAGGGTGTGCATTCGGTGTCATTTTCCGCATATGGGTTAGTCAGATGCTGTTTTTGTTTTTGTTCACGGAAATTAGTCCAATGTTGATTTTTGTTCCTTGGCTTGGATCTGTCGGTTCTTATGTTTAACTGAATTTGTAGTATGCATCTCCGGTGTGCTCGGAATGATAGGCCAATGAGCTTTTGTGCTTTACTTGTGTGTGTGCATTTTTTTTTGTTTTTTTTTTGGGTTTCAAAATCTTTTCTTGTCATCTGTGCTGCAGAGTCCCTCTTATAGAAGATTATGGGGTCCTGTGAAGCGCCTTGTATCACTGTATCCGGATTCGAATCCGCGGGGATATTATGCTGGTATGTTTAACGTTTTTTTTTTAAATTTTTAATTTTTTATCTTAGTGCTGAACATTCTACTGCTTCAACTTAAGATGATTTTGTGTTGGTCTGATTGACATTGACTCTTCTGTTGATCAAACTTGTGATTTTACTTTTGGATTGTCTATTTGCTAAAGTGAGTTGATTAATTAATTATGAACTGTATAAAAAAAGGCTATCTGGAGAAAATTTTAGAAGAATTAGTTCTTCTGTTGTAGCTTTTTTTTATACTACTGTGAGAGATGAACTTGGGATTACTGGGTTATGTAAGCCTATGCAATGCTCCTATGATAGTGTGATTGAGACAAAAATTCCCGTTTGTGTAGTGTTTGTTCTTGAGGCAAAATTGTCTTACTGTCTTTCACCTATGAATGGGGAAATAAAGCATGATGGTTGATGTCTAAAAATGTGTGCCATCCCAATCCTGGGGCAAATAGTACTGCTTAAGTCTGTATTTCTCATTGCTTAGCAATTATATCACATATGTAGTTTGGACTTTCATTTGTGTATCTCATACTGTCTTCTGCACAAAAGTTTGCCCAATATTATTAGTTCTTGCCCTTATTTTATTTTTTCTTAACACAAGCATGTGTATTTCCTGTCATTTTCTGTGATGTTTTATGTATTCAATACGTATACCAGGATTGTCAGATTTTTGTTGCTCATAGTCATAGAGACTTGATGCAAATTTTTGAATATTTGGATATTTGCATGTATTGCGCAGTCTCACCATTCACCATATGCATTTGATCTAGTTTCTCTGTATTTTCTCTATAATTTATTCACCATATCTTAATTTAGATACCATTGCGTTACCTTTATTCATACTTTGGATTATGTGTAAAACCAAACAAGGTCCTTGCAGCAGGGAAGAACCTTGTATTTCTGTTGATTACTGTTAATCCTTTTATCTTCCTCTCTCTCTCTCTCTAAAATAAATTATGTCTACTTTGCTGACAGATCCTGTTTCACAAACAAATGGGTTTATTTTTGTCCGGATACAAGGTGGTTTTCATGAGATCAGGAATTCGGTAAGGGTAATATTAGGGTTGAGGTTTTGTATTCTATTATATTTAATTTAAATCATATTGAACTGAAACTGTAGCATTATCTGTTTTTTTCCAGATAGGTGATGTTGTTGTGGTTGCTCGACTTCTCAATGCTACATTAGCTATGCCTGAGATCCAATCAACAACCAGCAGCAAGGGAATAAGGTTACTATTCTTCCAAGGAATTGCAGATGCTTTTATTTACCTCAGTCTGACATGATCTAAATTACTTGTTTAAACTATTTCACTCTATTCTGTTCATAATTATTTTTATCCAGCTCTCAGTTCAAGAGTTTTGCGTACCTGTATAATGAAGATCAATTTGTCCTCTCGTTAGCAAAAGATGTCACAGTTGTGAGAACTCTTCCGAAAGATCTAAAAGGTGCAAGGAGAAAGAAGGAGATTCCTGTGTTTAAAGTTCCATATGCAGCGTCACCTTTTTATTATTTGCGTCATGTTCTCCCTGTATTAAAAAAGCATTCAGTGGTTGAACTAGTTGTTTCTGAAGGTGGATGCTTGCAGGTAAAGACAGCTTTTGTTAAATGCCTAAACCTATTAGATCCATAACTTGTTTTTATCTAAGTTTTTCCTTCCAGAGTTCAAATTCAAAGGTTTATTTGTCTGGACTTGTTTATTTTTATTTGCCTAGACTTAGATGAGAGTTGATTGCAATGTAGTTGACCATTTTTTTAACTTTGCAAATGATCTATGGATTAAATTATTTGAAATCTAAATAGATACTGACAATCTTTAGTTTTTGGATGTCCTATGATGGATGAACTACAGTGTAGATATGGGTCATAATTTGAGGAATTGTATTTTCTTTCCTTTACAGATTTCTATTCTTATTTTGTGATTTGGGGTTGCCGGGGATAAGATTATTTGGGGGTGACTATATAAATGTTTGCCATATTAAGAGATATACAGCTTTCATGGTGCTCTCTTTCTCAATCTTTCTTCTGTAACTAGTTGTTCAGCTTCCTGTCTTCTCCTTTCCTTTGTACTATTTCTCCTCTTGTTCTACATGGTGCTGGTTGTTTGTTTTAAATGGTTCTTGTTGTGCCTTTATTAAATACCTATAATTGTTTGTTTCTCTTGGCTTCCCTACCTTCTTAGGCCACTCTTCCTCCCAATTTTGAAGAATATCAAAGGCTGAGGTGCAGGGTTTCTTTTCATGCTCTTCAGTTTCGACAGGAAGTCCAGGAACTTTCTGCTAAGATTTTGCAGAGGCAAGAGGATTTTCATTGTCACCTCACCTCTTTTAAGTTTGTTCTTCTCTTTCATACACTTTCCCCTTTCAATTGGTTTACGTATATAGTTCTTGATATAATTGTAGGTTGCGAGCTCCTGGCCGTCCATTCATTGCCTTTGACCCTGGCATGACTAGAGAATCTTTAGCATATCATGGCTGTGCAGAACTATTCCAGGTATGTAATCAATCTGTGATAACTGTCTAAAACTTCCTCAGCTTTTCATATTTGAGCTAGATGGCCTTGAATTCTTTGTTAGGATGTACATACTGAACTTATTCAACACAAACGATCTTGGATGATAAAACGTGGGATTGTCAAGGGGAAGCTTCCAGTCAACTCAGCTGAAGCAAGACTAAATGGCTCCTGTCCTTTAATGCCTCAGGAGGTAAAAAATATTTTTTAAAATTTTAGATAAATCAAATTGTACGATGTCAGTGAATTAGTTGGATAAACTTCAAACTTTGGTTATTTACATTTGTTGAAAATTTATACTAATGCCATATATTTAGAGAGATAGAACTTCCCAGGCTGATTATATGATCTTTCATTCCGATCTCTTGCAGATCGGTATTCTTCTGCGTGCCTATGGATACTCAAGGGATGCAATAATATATGTGTCTGGGGGAGAAGTCTTTGGTGGTCAAAGAACATTGATTCCTCTTCATGCTATGTTTGAAAATGTTGTTGATAGAACTTCTCTAAGCACTCCTTGGGAGATGATTAGGCTCTATGGGCAAGAGGTAAACCTTGTTAGTAATCCTGGACCGCCACCTTTCATTGAAGAAGTAACGAAGCGTGCAGCTTGGAAGAATGCAGGTCCACGACCCCGCCCTCTTCCTCCACCTCCAGCAAGACCCAAATCATACAACATAGAGGGTTGGTGGGGTTGGGTAGCTGAGAGTGATAATGAGCCTGATAGTACAGTTATGGAACTGAGGACCAATGCCCATAAATTACTATGGGAGGCTATTGACTATGTGATTTGTGTTGAAGCTGATGTATTCATCCCTGGATTTGACCGCGATGGGAAGGGGCATCCAAATTTTGCTAGCTTGGTGATGGGGCACAGGCTATATCAGTCAGCTTCATCAAAGACATTTAGACCTGACAGGTACATACCTCTATCTTTTGTACATACCTTCATCAAAGACATTTGATATATAACTTGGCTGATTATGTAAGCATTCAATGAACTATCTCTTAAACAGCACATATAATGTTTACATAATCAACGAAGTTAGATATCAAATGCTTGAAAGTTCCAAATCTCTCTTAATAGTATTTCATAAACTTGGTAACTAGAAGAAAACACATTGGATAAGGTAGCAGTTGTTTCCAAATAAAGCTTGAATATAATGTTTCTTATCAATTGACCATTAAAAAACCAAAACAACCTAAGGCAATGTGCACCAGAGCAACATGGTTGGGGAACTATGCTAAATTCATGGCTAATTATGAGACAGAAGCTTCACTAGTGCCATTAAAAGTTGAAGATTTGCGATTTTAATACCTTGTATCATAAATATGTTAATGCAGAAAGGAGGCAGCTAAACTTGTAGACGAGATTTGTGACCACATGTATCAGGCAAATCATACATGGCTAAAATCAGTTCGCAGGCATTTGAGGAAAACATTACTCGATGGAATTATAGAAGCATCAAATAAATCAAAATCACTATCCTTTCTCTCTCATCCGGTCCCTGAATGTTCTTGCTCACTGCGTGACTCCTTTTCTGAAGTATCAAAGAATTCTTCTGGCCCTTCAACTTCCCAATTATGGAAATCTCTTGGCGTTGCTCACCGGTGTCCTGCATGGATGGACACTGGTCCAGTTTCTCAATCAAAAGACAAGGAAAATGATGATGATGTAGATGAGGATGATTCTGTATCTGAGTTATTCTTTAGACAAAGTTCTGAAAATCATGAAGGTGATGTAGAATTAAACAACAATAAAGAAGAAAATCAATTTGAGGATCAAGAAGAGGAGGGTGGGGAAAGATGACATCAAGTTCATGTGTTGATGGTTCATCTGACAATAATGGATTTGCATTCTTCAGATTCATGTACATGTACATAAGCAATTGTTGCTTACTGGATTCAGTTTTGGGTGAGAGAAACACTAAAGCCATTTAAATGTGGCTCTGTAGCTGTGATAAAGGAAACATGTTCACTAGCCGAGAATCATCTGTATGACATTAGTGTTTCTTTTTTTGACTCAAGTCCTCAAATATATAGGCTAATTTGTTGACCACATGGCAATTTTGATGTAACCTTGCATGATCTTCGTAGTTAATATCATGTATAAGTTCAGTTTGAATTCTTTGCTAGTAAATCTTCCTGGTTATCTCTGCTGCTCATACTCCAGACTCTATTTATTCAACTCCATTTTTGTCTCTGATGGGAGGAGTAAATCATCACCCGTTTTATTTATTGACCGAGAAGTAAGATGTGGAGCTGTTATAAATTTTCACCCAACTCTACTCTGGTCCCTAAGATTGTGGGCATTATTTTAGCTCTTGATTTTATAGAGCTAAACATTTTTATTTTACAAAATGTTTTAAAACTAAATTTACTTTAGACATTTTTTTACTTTATTTCTCATTGGAATTAAGAAATGAATGCGATTTTACTATATTTTTTGAAGTGAGGAGCTAAAGTAAGTTTTGTAAAATTAGGTTAAAGCGAAAAACTTCTATAATCTTAAGAATCAAATGAATGCTTACTTCTTTTTTTTTTTCTTGCGTTGAAACCAACCTTTAGCATCAGAGGGGAGCTATGTGCTGGTAAATCTACTGTTTGACGCAATGAATTTGAACTGATTGTAATTTGTGAATGAATGTTTTTATTTTAAAAGCAAGTTAGTGATAAAACTAATAAAATTTTCAATTAGATACAAAAGCTTTTTATCATGATTCTTGATAGTTGTGATCAATATTATGGTTTATTACCAGAACCTTTTTTTTTTAAGGTGACATTACTTGAACATGTTCTAGATACAAGTCACTTCCATCAAGATAGTCAAGTATCCATTCTAAACAAAATCGTGTAATTTCTCAACAAAATTGTGACGTGGCATGGTAAATTATACAACATAATGTAAATCTCACAAGTGTAAACTCTCATTCAGACTGTTACTCTGGTGAGCATAGCCTCCAAAACCAGCATTGCTACCAAAAATTATCCATTAAAGAAACGTGATGAACATGTCATTAAGCAGACTTGGGGTCTGGCCCTTCAAAAAATTTATTTTTTTTGGAAAATTCAAATAGAAGCACGGGCATATGTAACATTTTATTTCAGAATGTCTTGGTCCCAAAATCAGAATCATGAAATATACATTTTATCTGGCTCTAGCCAGCATGGCAAAAAATGAACCAATCCACCCAATCCCTCTTTTACCCTCATCTGAAGACAACAAAAAAATGAAACTCCTGACAAAATGAACATGAGGGGGATCTCTAGCTTGCTTCTTGTCTAAGCCTCTTTGGATTCTGTTCAGAATCAATATTGCAGTAATCAACTCCGGAACGTGTTACTGGTGGGTTGCTCACAAATTGGTTTTCAAGACTCTGAAATGAACAAATAATATTTAGTATCAATTTTAATGGAAAGAAAAAAGATTATGATGTCATCTTGGGAACTGTTAAGAATGACATTCTTCGGTTACTAGTCCTAAATTGGACTTTGGACAGATCAAATATAAAAATAGACATTGGCAGCAATTTCTACTTACTATTTCAATGTCAAAAGGGCAATAACAATGTTGCAAACAATTTACAAAAAAACAATTCAGGTCTGTGCAAACTTAGTAGGCCGAAAAATTAAGTATAAACGAACCTTTGAACTATATGCAGTGGGGATCAACTCAGTATTTGCACGTCTACCAACATCAATTTGCACCGAGACACTAGCCTGGGACATATCTACACCCGAAGACTGCAGCACTTGCGTGAGAGTATCTAATATTCTGTTAAAACACCAAAAAATCTTGGTCAATAGTGGAACAAATGATATCTACTTGAATGATACTTGAGGTAATTGTCTCAATTTTCATGTGCTAAGGAATTAATTGCCCTAAAAGATACAGTTGCACCACTAATTTTATATCATACAGACAGGTGAGAAAGAAAACAATGTCAACTGCAACAAGTTTGTGAGAACCTCAAATTTCTCATGTCAAATTTCCCCTATTTTTTGAGGTAGCTTCTCAAGCTCAATTGTAAGCATCAGTGGCTTTCCAATTTTTTATTTTATTTTATTTTTTTACAGGATTTGGCAAGATTTTCAAAGTGATAAAAACAATCTCAAACAACCAAGTAAGAACAAAGAAACAAACAAAAACGTCCCTGATTGGTTTTAGAGAGCATAATTCCATGCCATGGAGAGAAGCACATAGGAAGTGATTAATTGCAGATGTGAACTGACAAAATACATGATTCATATGATATTGAGCCCCAAATGGTACATATATAGATCTGCCCCATTCTTCTCACCAACATATCAGTAACTCCCTTTTAAATCTAGTATCACACTCCCTCTCCCACAGAATATTTATCACCCAAGTAAAAAATTTCAACCTTTGTTAATTGGGGGAAAAATGAAGACTAACTTGGATCCATCCTAGCCAGTTTTGCATAATTTATTCCAGTCATTAGTAGATAGACAAGTTATACAAGATAGATTATGAGTCCTCATGTGAGAAAGAAAATAACTGGGAGCAGAGAGATAAATTAAGATAGAAAAATGCCTGAAATAACAGACAGATGTTTAATGGTGAAGTGCAAGGGAGAAGAGCAAGAGATGAAGAAAAACTCACAATTTGACTAAAGAGTATTTCTACTTTTTATTTTTTAAAAAATGGAGGGAAGGGAGGGAGCATGAATGTGCATGCAGTCATGCACAGACACACACACACACACTCTGTTCAATGTTCACCCTCTCTAAATGTAGTTTCAAGTAAATACTTAACAAAAAATCAGTAAAGATAAACTACTATGAACTTATCAAAAAACTCACCCCTGAGAATATGCACTTGAGATGCTATCTGATCCACTCTCGACCACCTGCTCTTCCTGTTCCTTCACTGTATTATCATGTGGAAGAATATAGCTTCCCTTGTGTGGTCTATTAAGCCACACTTGAGGCTGAGTATGGGAAGGCATGTCAACAATTGATACAGGTTCCTGCAGATGTTGGGTTGCCATACCACTGCTAACAACCGGATCAAACATGTCCAATCTCATTTGCATGGCCATAGGAATTGCTTCTGCGGCTGAACCAGGGGTGTGCCCCTTTGGAATAGTTGTCAATGAGAAGTCAGACTCTATTGGGTTCTGTACATTTTTGGGCAATGATGGAGAGACATTGTTATTTTTCTCATTAACAGATCCATTTTGTATAGCTTGAGAAGGAACTGTGGTATTTTCTGCAGGTCCATGATGATTTCTCTGAAAAAACAAGATGAGAACAATAAATTTTAGATAAAAACCATTGCTACTATTTCAAGGCACTAAGTCACAACCAACCATTGTGACAAATAGATCACTGAAGTTGCCACAATGCTATCCCTGAACATATTCAAATATGCATACTGGGCTACTGGCTCTGGAAGAAAAAGGATATTGTAAATAATAAAAGAAAACAACAAGCAGACATTTGAATTCAAAGAAACAGCTTAAAGCAGTGAAATCCTAAGCATGAAATGAACTCCAAGTTAAACTCTTGTATAAGAAATTTTATGCAATCAGCATCATGAGTACATGACAATGATGACATATGGCCATGTACACTGGTCTGTTGAAATCCATGTTGGTAGCCTAATTAGTGGGAATAAATAAGGCTTCATAGTTGGTGTTCCCTCTTTTGCAGTCTATATAAAATGAATCCTTGTACAATTGGAGAATCACAAGTCTCACAATGTTGTGCAACTGTGTAGGTCCAATTAGACTGCCATGTAAAGGTCAAATTTTATATATGAGGTGGCATCACTATCAGTTTCAAAGGCAGATATAATGCATACTTGCATTGCCATGCATGTGCACAACATTTCATAAATCAAGGTCGAGAGTTAACACAGACACTCAAAATTGTACACATTACACCATTCCAAATAACTTTACCCATGGAATTAATTTCGCTGGCTCCTGATTCCATCCTTCATAAGACTGTTCGTAAATTTGCAATTTTTCCTGTAGGAACTGAATATACTCAATAACCTGCATATATAAGCAAAGAAAAAAAAACAAATTTCTTAATTTAGTTTACAATAATATACCTAAACAAGAAACAAATGGTTGAAAGTAGAATGAAGTACCTCCAACAAGAAGGATGCCTTGTCTCTTTTTTGATCATTTTGAGGTATGAGATCTCTCAGAACTTGAAACCTGGCTCACAAACACAATTCTTTTCAAGCAACCAAATAAAAAATACGAACATAGAGTTACATAAAACTTACACTCAAAACCTACACACACAAACAATTAACTCAATAAATAAAAAAAACATTTTTTCCCTTTAAAGAAGAAAACTTGCCTTTCGTTAATCTTGCTCCTTCTACGTTGCTCAGTCTCTGAATGCTTTGAACGGTGCGGGTTGACCCTCTTCCCCGCGCTGGGTTCATCCACCTTCACTGCCAAGTCACAACGTAATAAATAGTTATGCTTGAAACTGAAAATTGAATTGCGGAATGCAATTGAAGAGGGAAAAAGAGAAGAACTTTGAAAGGCCCATGAACAAATAAATCGATAAACCCTGGTGGGTGTTGCAGAACAAAAGCAGAGAGAGAGAATAATAATAATAATAATAAAAATAAAAACCTTTGTTGTTGAGAGAGGAAGAGGTGTTAGCAGTTAAGAGTTCTTCTTCATCGTCGTCGTCGAATTCATCTTGATGCCCTTTGGCAGACCTAGCCATTTGTCAGATGGAAAATGGAAAGAGAAAGGAAGAAAGTGTAATGCGTAGAACCTACTTAGTATTAGTTCCACTACTCTCAGGCCACCACCAATCGCTACCTAATCTAACAAAAACATTTCATTCAATTTTTAATGGAAACAATTTTCATTTTAAAAGAAGAGTTAATCATTTATATATATATATATAGTGAGAGTAAAGTTTTTTTTTATATTGACAGTCAGCTTCATTAATAATACTTTTTAATCTATTCATTTAATTAAATTAAAATAAAAAAGATACTATTAACAGTTCTGACTGATTGTCAGTAAAAAACTTTATACTAATAATGTATAGGTGATTAACTCCTAATTAAGATGGAAATTTCTCTCTATATCTTACTCATGCTAATTTCATGGAATTTATTTTCGTTAAAACTATTTTATTTTTATTTTTATGTATATTATTTTTGTCTTCTTTTATTATTTCGTATTGTTATAGAAATTAAAATGTAAAATTTTTAAAATTATTATAATTAAATATTTAATTACATAAAAATTACAATAAAATATTTTTAATTTTAAATATTAAAAGATAAATTTTGTAAAACTATACGATGGAATGGCTAATTAACTCTCTGTGAATTATCAAATTATAGGAATGCTAGCAATAAATTTATTTAAAAAATTATATAACTTTATTTGAAATATTTTTTTTAAAAAAAGAAAGTTTATTATCGATCAAAATTTATTAAAATTATTTTTTTGTAGTTTATGAGTATTTTGAGAGAGAAAAAAATTGCTTCAAAACATATATTTTAAATATCTAATTATTATTTATTAGATAATATATCGTTTTTATATAAAATATAAGAAAAACATTATCAAATACATGTTTGAAAAGGTACATATAATGACTGAAATAAGAATGAATACGAGGAATGATAAAATGAACATAACGTTTATAAAATTATAATTTTTCTAATTTATATATAAAGAGTGTTTAATTTGTTCTATTTCTAAATGTAAGGAAAGTGGATTTCCACGTAATTTTTCTTCTTCATAAAACATTCTCATTCTTATTTAATATTAAAATTTTAATAAATTAAATAGATTAAATTGTTTCAAATTTTCTATTCAATAAAAGGGTCTAGTGTAACACAATAATTTGTACAAGAATTGCAGTAAGTTCTTATTATCAAGTTAAATTCTTTTGATGAAAAATATTATTGTAAACAAAATTTACTAATTAAAACATCAAATTTCACCCCAAGTAAAAACATCTTTTTTCCCTCTTTTAAAATTTTAATATCACATTTTATAGTCTTTCAAAAAAAAAAACCTCCACTTTCATCTTTTAAAATTATCCTATATCCTAAATTCGTTGTCAAGTTGTGTTAACCTCTCGTTTGCTAACATTGATAAAATCACTGTATTCTAAATATTTTCTATTTTAATATTTAATGGTTCATTGTAATTTTGTCTTAAAAAAAGTGTATTTTCTACTTTAATATTTAATGATCTATTGTAATTTTGTCTTAAAAAACTGTATGATAATTTAAGGTAGAAAAATATTTATAAATTATTACTCATCTCAATTCTTAAATGATGTGAAAATTTTTAACATACTAAAATAAATCTCTAATCGGGATTAAGAAATAAGAGTAACTTAAACTCTTATTTTAAAGTCAATAAAACCTTCAAATATTTTTATAGAAAATAATAATGTAAAAGTTTAGATAACATAAAATTGACAGCAAGATCAACTTTACATGATTTGGAATTTTAAAAATAGAATAACTTAATTAGTTTAAAAAGAATTGAAAGGTTAAAGTATACTAAAAATATAATAAAACATTAAAATACAATCTCATACGCATCTAAAATGGTGGATGAGCCATATAATGCTAATTAGAATTTATTTGTCATTAATTTTAGTACAGTGATTAGAATTTTGATCATAGAAAAAGATCAACTTTTCTTTTTTCCTTTCATACTTTATATTTTGATTTAGACCAATATTTAGTTTTGTTACTCGAAGACTCTCGATTACATAATTCTTCCCACTAAATGGTATATGAAATGAGAGATATGCCATTTTTTTTTCTGTGATTCGAAGATATCCGTGATGGCAATTCTGTTTGAAGATAGAACTTACAAGTTTAGGGTTTTATTTATGGCAACAGGAATAGGGAGAAAAAGACAGACGGAAATCATAATCCTTGACCTATATGAGATTCTTATATGTTGAAAATGACAAAATTATCATAATTTTGTACAAGTGTATACATATATATATATATATATATATAAATAATGTTTTAGGTTTTTTCTTACAAATTTCAATATAATATATGTTTTTTTTTATAAAATATGTAAATTTGTAGAATATATTTATTTTTTTAAAATTGTTGATGATTAATTGTTATATATTAAATTTCATAATCTCCGGAATTTAGAACAAAGATTGAAGAAATTTTTTTCATACACATAAAATAAAGATGAATACGAGTTGCTAAGAAAAATTAAATATGAGAGAATAATGAGAATGTAAAGATGAATATAAGGACAAAAAAATATTACCGACCTTTTGTGAAACAGATAATTCAGTTTATAAGTTTTTTTTTTAATAAAAAAAGGAGTTATAACTAAAATATCATTTTTTGGGAAGGTTAGTTTCAATTTCTAACTAAGTTTATTTAATGTTAGTTTGACTTTCACAAAATTACTAAGTTTATTAGAAAGTTATTCTATTTGTTCTTTTTATATTTTGCTTTCTTTTTTTATATGTGTGTATGATTATGATGGTAATAAAATTTAAATTATTTTTCTTTTTGTACATTCTCAAATCTGTTATGAGATATTTCTTAACTAGTTTTTAGTGTTCGTGTCTATATCATATTTCATGTATTATTGATCTAATTATTCATTACTCATCTTAGATCTTTAAGTAACTCAAATGTATTTTATTTTATATTTGATATGAGATCTTGAACATGTCAAGAATTTCTAGTTACTCAATGTAAAAAATTTAAGAATGTATTGTTTAAGAATTTTAGACCTCAAAAATCAGCTTAGAGGTTTTTTATTTATTGAATATTTATTTTTAAAACAAAATATTCCAAGCATAAGTTACATTATTTTAAATATAAGTTTTTCTAAAATAAAACTTATGAATACTTACACCTAAACACATGTAGTATCTCCCCACTAAAACCAAATAGTAGTGGCATATATAAAGTTTAAATAATAAATAAGCATATATGAAGTACCCTGCGAGATTCCTTAATTACAAGCCAATCCCCCTGAGTTTATGTAAATTTTCAATTTCACACAACAAAGTACAATAAAAACCAATCATATATACAATAAATGACTTTCTATTAGAATAATAATTTTATACATAAAATTTGTTGTTATAATATCGATCACACATAATTTAGGAGCTGAAGCCAGCTTAGTAGTTAACATGCCATGTTAGGTGTTCTTGGACTCTCCTTCTTATCCCTATCTAACTTGTCTATGGTTTCTTATAAAAGTTCTGTAATAACAATTCACTCAAGAAGATTGCAAATGAATAAATAATATATATATATATATATATATATATTACTTTGTGTCTTTGACTATTTTTAAAAAATAAAAATAAATAAAATAAGTGGTTAATAATAAATTTTTGAATAAGTGCACTTTGTAAGGATAGTTTTTAAAAAATGTGGAGAGAAAAAAATAATTTGAAAAGTACAAAGATAGTTATAGAGATAAAGTTGTAAAAAAAAATTGTGTATATGTAATTTTCTTTATTAATATTATAAATATATTTTCTTATAAATATATTATTTTGTGAAGAACTATGTTAATTATGAAATTATTGGGCTGAAAGACAGCACCAAATTAGCAGACATAAGAACACCAAAACGGTGCCTAAATTATGGAAATGGTTAGTGCACTTAAGGTAAGGCACAAGTCACGTAAGTCAACATAATATAGAATGAGAAAAAGGAAGACAGAGAAAGGAAAGTAATGGTTTTATGATTATAAAAGAATGAGTGCAAGTAACAACAGGACAATCACATCACTCTCAATAGATGTTAAAATTAAATTAGATTTAAATACTAAAATTAATAACTTATGTAAAGCCTTTTACCAATGAGTAACAGTAACATTTCCGACGTGCAAAAGATAATAATATAACTAACCTGCAAGGTGGATAGTGCAACTTCCACAAAGTTTTTCAAGACTTAGTCAAACTACTTCAATAACAAAAACGCAACTAACATTTAAATATTAAAAAAAATGTTACATAAATATAAAATTAATTAAATTAAATATTTACTTTAAATTTTAAACTTGCACAAATTAAAGACTTGGTCAAAGTACTTCAATGACAAAAACGCAACTAACGTTTAAATATTTAAAAAAAAACATTATATAAATATTAAACTAAGTAAATAAAGTATTTAGCTTAAATTTAAAATATAAATAAATTTTTCTGACATTTGCCACACGAGTAATGTTATTTTATATAAATTTGTGTTAATAACTTTATATATAAAAAATATAACTTAAATTGTATTTTTAATTTTTTATCTTATTTTTAAGATTCATTTTTTTTGTTAAGCAAAATTGAATTAAATAAGAGGAATACAAGGAGTATTCTAACCAATACACAACATAACCAAAATAAGTAATGAACCTCTGACATTACCATGTGTTTAATGAAAATAACACAATAAAAACATATCTCCTAAAATCAATTTGCAATCATCATACAATAAAAAACCTTACATCAATAGGTGGAACAACCAAACTAGCAATACAAAAAAAACTATCAACCACAAAGTGAAGCCAATCACCATTGTCAAAAGCATTGTCCCAGCTAAGTCAGAATCACACCCAAATAGCAATAATCACCTTCAAAATCACTTAATAAAAATTAAGGCATACGAAAGGTGACTCAGCCCAAAAAGAAAATAAGTATGAAAAAAATTATCTATCACTTTTAATCATTCCCAAGTGCGCAATTTTATCATTTCAAGCACATCTAAAGTAGATAGCACCTTGTCAGAAAAAATAAGAACATTTCTTGCTAGTCAGATACTCCAAATTACAATCAACCAGATCACAACCCATCTATACATATTGTGTAAACTTTGTGATATACTTTTGATCTTTGTAGTCTTCTTGGAGAACTTTCTTTGTGAAACCAAAAAGTAAAAAAACTTTGTGAAATGTTTTTGAGAAAAATCATCATCATCACTACATTCTTGGAGAGAAGGACTAAAATTCTTCACGAATTCACAGTTTGATCTGGTCAGTTTTTAGGTGAATTAGTTCCTTAATGAAGTTAGCAGAAATACACACAGAAGGGGGGGTTGAATGTGTGTGCGAGTTTTGAAGGTAGATTTTTCAAAGTTGCTTTGCAGCAATTTTTTTTAATGAATAGATTTTTCAATCAAGGTTAAAAACTTGTGCAGGCTTATCTGACTAAAAATTTGTCTAACAGAACTGATCGTCTAGTTCAAGAAACAAGTTGAGTGAGTTTGTTTTCCGTCTGAAAGGTTTTATCGTCCAAAAAGGAATTGTTTCTCAAACAAGATAAACAGTTTGCGTTTTTGTCTAACAGTTTATTGAAAAGAAAATGGATGAAAACGAAATGAGTAGTGAAAAAAAATGCACAACTGTTTACACTGGTTCACTCAATCTGAGCTATGCCCAGTCTCCTTCAACCGAAGGGTTCCACTAATCACAAAGGATTACAAGTATTCTCAACCACTTCTAGCTCGTCAACTTCACTTGTCAATGCTAGTATTCATAACCACTTCTGGTTCTCCAAGTATTCTTGACCACTTCTGGCCTGCTAGCTTTACTTACTAGCAATAGTATTCTCAACCACTTCTGGTTCACAAGTATTCTTTCTATCAGCCTCTTCAGGCTTTACAACAAATAAAGATTTTGAGTGTGTTTGCAACTCTCATAGAGAGGATAGGGTAGTTTCTACACTCACTAAGGTGCGTAACCTTAGTTTCATAGGAATAAATGTCTAAGTATTTGTTTACTCTCGTAGAGAGGATAGACCATTAACAACACTTACTAAGATAAGTTATCTTAGTTTTTAGACAGATATACAAGAAATGCTTTGAGAAGAAAATGTAGCTTATACTCTTTCGCTTTCTTTTTCTTATTGCACATTTTCTCTACTTCTCAGTTCTACTTCTTCTTCTTCTTTGCCTTAATACTTATAGCCATTTAGTAAATTTGTCCATTATTTGAATTCAAATTTTCCCATTGGAGCGTAGCTTCATGTTGTTACAGATGGAGGCTTGCTCATGGCTCTGTGAATCTCTTCATTAAATGCATTTGATCTTGCATTAAATGTTTGTTGGTATACGTGAAGTCCTTTTGTGTAGTTGATTACTCTAATGTCTGACTATAATCATACTCTAGGCATATTTGTACTTGTCTCATTAGTTTAGCTGCTATAGTGCTATCTATCTCTGAAAAGTAGGTGTCCTTTCTCTGACATATGCAGTCTTTGACTTGTAACTCTACGCTTGCCTATTTTTCTTCTTTTCTGTATTCCGGTTTGATGTACTTTGGTGTTTCTTGTATGATTTCACTCAATTATGATTAGTGGATATCAGATGCGCTTCATCATTTTTAACTATGCTTGGATATATCATACGTCGTCTGATCTTGACTACCATTTACGTTTGGTCATGAGAGTGATAACTTCGTCTTCTAGTTCATTAGGCTCTAGATCATTCCACTAAGTGTAGAGACCGTGGCGGGTCGTTACAACTTCATTTTAAAAGGACAGAGAGGCAACCCAAGAAATTGATCAAAATGAGCAATGAAGCTATTGGATAGCACAGAAATGAAGCCACACCATTCATTTTATTCATTTATCTCCTAAATTTTCATTTTGATCTTTTAACTCTTAAATTTGTGCAATTTAATCTTTTTAAAATAATAATTATTTTTAATTTTGGAACATGATTTTGAATAATTTTTTTACTATTTCAAAACTTAAAACTTGTCTTGTTATAATTCTTTATATTAAAACTATTGACTATAATTGAAGTTCAAACCAAAAAGTGTTATAAACATATTAAAAATCATATAAAAATAAGTTTAAAAAAAATAAAATAAAAAATATATATAATTTCATATTATTTTTTAGTTACTTATAAGATATATTTTTCATGTGATTTTTATTATGTTTATATTCTTTTTTGAATTCAAATGTTAATTAAATTTCATTAATTTTATATAAATGATTCTAATATTATAAGTTTCAAATCTTGAATCAATAAATAAATTGATTTAAATTTTTTTACAAAATTAAAAATAATTATAATTTTAAAAAAATAAAATAAAATAAATATAAAAGATAAAATATCAAAATAAAATATTTAAATAGATAAAAGATCATATCAAATCTAACAAATAAGATTAAAAAAAATAAAAGTATAATTTAATGAAAAATATATAAAAGATATTAAAAAAAAAAGAAGAGATACGCTGAACTATATATATGACAAATGTTATGAAAATATTTTTTGCGAATATATGATTTTTCTAGAATCCAAATGACTAAATTATATGAAAGAAATATTAATGTACCCACTACCTTATTGTATATAACAAAACACACAAGCCAAAACTGAAAATTCTAACACATTAAAATAAAATGGAAACATAAATGATGTTAGATCATGAAATAAGATTATTTCAGTTTAATTAATACTAGTTTTGAAATTGAGTTTTTATTATACAACTACGTTAAATATTTAAAGAAAAATTATCGCTTATAAATTTAAACATAATTTAAATAGGATTTTTATTTTTGTAAAAGATAGGTTTAGTAAATAAAAAATATGTTGATATAAAGCAATAGGATCAAATCTATAAAAAAAATCATCAAAGATTGCGGAGACTCTAAAAGGTTCTAACTTATAACGTTGCATGTTTGCTGAATTCAAGTGATCGCCTTGTAAAATTGGAAGTTAAATTACTCTTTTTATTTCTTTTTTATTTAATTGGTTTCATTTAGTTTTTATTTATTATTAAAATGTTTATTTTTTTTTAAAATAATACTATGTTATCTTTTCTGTCCAATTCAAATTAAAATTATTATATATACATATATAAATGACAAAACATTTATCTTTTTTATTGTGACATATATATAAAAAAATTAATGTTATTCTAAATTAGATGAGAAAGGAACCGTTACATTTTTAAATTAAGAGATTAGATTAAATAATTTAATAATAAAAAAATTAAATCAAGTCAATTAAATACAAAGAGAGAACACAAGAATAATTTAAGCCAAAATTAAAAGTACTAAGGGACAATGAGAAGCAACCAACACGGTTCATAATTTTTGTTTGAGGAAAACATAAAAGCAAAAATTACCCAACAAATCTGATTAAGGTATAAAGAAAAATGTATATTCTTGGAAGGTGCCATCTCAGTGATGCTTTTTCCTAGAAATTCGAAGCCTTTTTGGATCACTAACTCAAACAATATCCTCCAAAGTTGATTATTTGTTTAAATTCTTGGGACCTGTGAAGTATGGATTAAATAAAACAGATGACAAGTAAGCTTATCTTGATTAAAATATGATTTTTTTATATATATATTTTATATTCTTCATGTGAATCTGCATTAAAATGAGATAGATTATTTAAAATTTTATTGAGAAAATTAATAGTTGATTGTGACATTGTATAAAATTGTTTTTGTCCTGACCTAAATATTTTATTTAAAATAAATAAATATGATGAGAATAGTACCATTGGAGTTGCAATTACAATGGTGGCATCCTTGACTTAGCAAAGATGGAGATGAAATGGTTTTCCCTTTGGAGTAATGATCCAGAAAAAATCATGACCACAGTCATGAATTCGGGCCCTCAAGTAACCAAATAAATCGATGACGCACATGTGAGGCTTCTCACTTAAACTGTAGTTTGGACCACAGACATAATATATAATATCTGATGCAGTAATATGTAATTAAAATTTCGTTATACAGAGGGGCAAAGAAAACTCACTGTTATTCTTCTTCATCGTTCATGTGTGTGCAAGGCTCAAATATGTGGAATATATGGTAAGGTATAACTTGTTGGATTTGTGCATGAGAGAGAAAGTTGGTATTTAATTTTTATCTAATAATTTAGGAAAATACAGAAAGAGGAAATAACATTATTCATGCAATAAACAGCTTTCTATGGAAATTTTTTTTTTTGGCTACTAGAGAAATAAAGTACTCTTTCTTTTGCACTTCTTTGCATTGAGGAAGATGTGACGCCACTTTGTCATTTCTTTACACAAGAACCAATTTCCCTAAAACAACAAATTTATATATTTGGCATGGCCACGGTTCCTTTGGTTGATCCAGAGTCTATTTCATGTACAAAAATAAAGTAAACAACAACAATTAACTTTGCCTTGTGATTTAGAAGTGTGACTAAATCAGAGGCAGGTGTGTCTAGCCAAGATTATGTGCTTTTGAATGGTTCATCTAGCAATTGCAAACATTCCTGAGGGTTTGCATAAAAGTAGTCTTCTTCTTTGGGTTTGTCTGGAATGGTAACTCTTCTTTTGGGGCTTCCCATACGATAGGCATGAGCTTCCTTCATAGCAGTGGAAAACTCATCCCAACTCAACAACCCATTAGAGTATTGGTCCATCAGCTCTACCAGAAGCCTTCTATCCAGTAGTATAGTTTTCTTGAATCCTAGAAATCTGAAGCAAGTATGATTTTAGATACTAACACAAAATAATTTAGATTGCATCATTACAAATGATATCATGCAAATTAAATGAAAAATAAGGCGTAAATTGCATATGCTCGATGTAGAAAGTTTTTATACCGTCAATTAATCACAAATTGTGATGCATAGTAAGTTTGTTGGCTTTAGTAATAATCACCTTAAGAGTCATATCTATTATAATTTCTTATTAGTTGATAGTATAAAAAATTTTAGTGCAAAGAAATTAAACTCAAAGAAATTACTAGAGTTTATTTAGAAGAGGATCATTATGTGACTTGTGTATTCTTTCATGATCATGAAATCTGCTTTTATTATCTAATAATAGTTATAGAATATGTGAACTGTCATCATTATATAGAATATATGTCAAAACTGCAAATAAATGTGCGAACACTCATCATTATACATCTAATAAAGAATGGATGAAATCATAACATTTCTTTACCTCATCAACGGATCAGATCACAAAGTTGATAACAGATAGAATTTGGAAGGACATATTATTGGCAACAAGGTAATACCTGCGATGGCCTTCCACAACTTTGGCCATGTTCCCATCATATGTTGGAATAAAAATATCACTCTCTAGGGAGACAAGATAATCCACTGCAGCCATTTGTGAGGAATGATTTTGGAAATACATCAATTCTGAAGGTTCCAGTAGAGTTTCTTTCCTTACCTATTTTAGAGAAAATGTTAGTGACAACTGATAAATTTGCATCTAAATACAGCATGTATGATTTGCTTCTTTACTTACCAGATTAGGAAACTCCCCTAGTAAACTTGCCATCCTTTTCTCTCCACCATATATTTCTCCAGCAGCAATATAAATTTGAACATTGTGATCTATACCGAGTGCTGTCAATAGTAGGGTTGTTTCCTCAGGAGTTAAAGGGCAGAAACCATCTTTCCTCTTAACCTCAGAATTAATAACTTTTTCCTTCCATCCAGGATATGCATATCTAAGAAATACCATTTGTCAAAATCTTTTACCAAATGCCAAAAAAAAAACATTTGTCAAAATTTCATTGAAATGAAACTAGAGAAACAAAATGGCCGTTGTCACCGGAATCGATGCTTTCAGAATCCATTCCCATCAATGTTAAAATGATAAATGACCAGCAAAAATTACGCTAGAGCGTAGATTAGTTTTTTATTGTTAGTTTTGAAATGCCATGTGTATCATGTTTTAAACTTAAAAAAAGGATGTTGTAACACATTAATGCAGGATTCATATTACCTCATTCTTGTTAGTTCTTCCTCCTCTTTGCTGTCACAACCATGAGCACAACCTGAGAATGCCAACATGTCCATTTCATATCTAAGATGAAGAGCAAGGAAAGGTCCCTTTTCCCTCAAAACCTTGACTATCCTTCTACCAAGTTCTTCTATCTGAGAAGTAAACCTCAGAGCATTGAAGTTTACTCTGCACCTTAGGTTCTGAATCTCAGTAGGTAGTCCATTATTTGCAAGTCTAGTATCTGTTCTATTTAGGTGTACAACCTTGTGTTTCAGCAACAGAGGAAGGACCTATTTAAGTGTAGTTAAGGACAATTAGTTGCTAACTTGCAATAAAGCACCTAGTCAAAATTTGACAAGTGCAAAGATAATGTGAACCAATTAAAAGACCTGGTTTTCATAGTATGATATATTGGACCAGCTAATGGGTGGCATTGAGTAGAATAATCCTTGTTCAACTCTTCTCTTGACCCTAGGTGGTAGTTGCCTTATTATTCGAACCTCATCTCTCAAGGAGGAAATAAAATGTTCTACATCAAATATATCTTTGAAGTCACTGCCACGTCAAGGGGATAGAAATAAAGACATTTCAATCATGATAGTCGTCAAAGAATTCGTTCCAAAATTGAAGTTATGACAGAAAGAATGATCTGTATACCTTGAATCAGCCCAGAAAGAGGCTTTATCCAGCTCTGGAACTATGAGAGTGACATTTAAGTGTCTGGCAATAGCAACCATGTCACATATCTGCAGGAAAAAACAATGGGAGGTATAAATGCTTCATAAAAAATGAATCAGATTTTAATGTTAATGTTGATTGCAGTGAAGATAACCAAGCACAAAACTTACTGCTGCTCGCATTTGGTTGAGTCCTCCATTGCACGAAACCAGAAGATAACCATTATTCCTGTAAATCCCTGATGAAAATTATGGATTTCATAAGAGACATGAATGAGAAATCATAAAATGTTAGCAAAAAAAGAAGAAAACTAAAGGTGGGAGGGGAAGGTTCAATCTTCAATGAGGGGGAGAAAAAAGAAAAAGAGCAGAAAATTGAATTGAGAATGACAATCATAGTACACAAAAGAGAACTACAATTTTTTTTCATGGATATGATCTAATTAGTGTTTCAAAATTGATAACTAAAGGTTAATCTATATTCACGGGTTGTGACTAGAGTACTACAAATGATTATTCACAAGACAAGCCAACGACTTACTTTTGGGTGGGAGCACAACCTTGGCTGGAGCCAAAATCTTTCCTACAGCTGGGGTACTGAAACAATAAGGCTTGCCTTTCAAGAAACTTGGTCCCAACAATTCTGCCAGTGCAATCAGCTGAACAAGACTAGTCCAAAGCACCACAATTGTGATGGCCCTAGCCATCCACACCTTGATTCTAGGCCTTATAATCAAATTCCCATGCTTCTCAACTTTGTCTTTAGCCAAAACTTTGAGCTCCATGATCTTTATCCCCTCACTGTCACTGTAGTCTTTTGGCCATCTCAACACCATTGATTTTGGTATCACACTCACTCCAACTTTCTTCAAAACCTTATAAAACTCCTTGAACTTAGTGATACTTAATAAATGCCCAGAAACCAAGACTAAACTTGATAATGCCCTTCACCTTTGGATCCTCAAACCTAAAATAAATGCTAATAATAATAAAGCCGAGTTGATTGACATGTGGTTATTCTAAGGTCAAAAATGTTATCCACCTACCCACCAGACAAGGTGATACACTGCACTGACTCTCACAGCCTAAACCTTGAAATTCCAAAACTTCCTTGAATTCTTCTGAACCTTGCCAACTACAACATTGGCAATGTGGTTTTCATATGTCTACATGAGCTTGATGAGTCAAAGAAATGAAGAAAACTCAGTAAAAATGTGGGTTCCTATTGGAATTCCCTCAACTGGGTCTCATCTTTATGGGTTACTGAGAGCAGTATTGAAAATGAAAACCAAACAAATAACAAACTAAGAAATTTTTTCTTACGAAAGTGTTCTGAGTCACAATTGTAAATTCAAATGAAAATCACGGAGAGATGATGAAGTGAATTTGTTAGTTAACTTTTCCGGTATGACGTGGCATTGTAGCATGACACCATGGTTAACTCCATCACATGTCAGTCACTTTGTGTGCTTTTGTTAATTTTATATTTTATTATTCACTCTTTAAAATATTATATTTATTAAATAATATATATTTATTAAATGTAATAAATAATGTCAGGACTGAGAATATCGGTTCAGTTTTCGTTACAGGAAAATGAAAATTCTCAAACAAAGCAAAAGAAAGAAGGATATTCCAGGTGAAGTTTGGCCCTAGGTGTAGGATTTCTACACATTATGTATTTCATCTGCGCGTAATCCACTAGAAACGGGGTGAAGAGTTCAAATAATTTACTCGTATATTTCATCCACAATTATATTTGAGTTAATCACCTATACACGATCAATGTAAAGTTTTTTTACACCGACAATCAATTATATTTCTTAATTGTACCATGTCACAGTTAAAAATAAATATATTTATAGTGACATAGCACAATTAAGAAATATAATTGGTTGTCAGTGTAAATTTTTTTTACACCGATAGTGTATAGGTAATTAACTCATTATATTTTACCTTTTAAATCTCATGTTAAGAAGAGTACCTTTTTTATTATTATAAGAAGAGTAATTTTAATTTTTTAAATATTAAAATAATTGAAGTTGGATAATAATAATAATAATAAAAGAAAAACAAAAAAAGTGGAGGAGCTGGTAGCTCAAATTTAAAATCTCGTGTGGGTGGGTTGGGCGAAACATGGACATAAGGAGCTGTGGCAACAACGTGAACAAATTCAGAGGCTGCAAGCAAGTGGCAGGGTGGGTGACAATCACCCCTTTTTTGGTGCTTTTGAAATAATGAAAGTTTGGTTCCAAAGTGTATTCAGAGGAGAAGAGACGTTGTTTTGAAGACAAATTCCCGTGCCTTTCTCCATCTAAGACCGCATGTGATTATAGTTAATTTAAGTCACAGGCATGCTGCAACACTTGCTCTCTTAATTTTATACTCCTACTGCTAGTTATATAATACTCAATCTTAAAGGCTCCGCAATGTTATTCGATTATAAATCAATTTCAATTGGATCAACTTAGATACGGCTTTGGGATTTGTATCTTGTTACAATACTTGGTTAATACGTCAGTGAAATGTTAACGAATACTATTAAAACAATTACTATAACTTTAAAACTAAAAATATGAGTAAATAAAAATTAAAATTCTCAATATTTTAAAAGTTGTATTTTTATTAAATTTTTTTTATTTAGTAATTTCTTAATAAGTGTTACTCGTTTACAACACTCTTGTTTTTGTCGAAATATAATGAGTGGCAGACAACAACCAGACTCCCTTGAACATCAAGTTACATGACTATTAGAAGTCATTCGTTATATAAGACTTGGAGAATAGCAGAACTTTACACTTTGAGGTGGAGCCACTTGCTTTACACAAGACGAATTATACCGCATCTTAGGGTCATGTCCTTAAAACTATAGTATTCCATTTCTCAGGGTGTTAGACTTAACGTAATCCACTTTTTTTCAATCTCTCCATTTTGTACTTTAGAATTTAGAATGCACAAACCTACGTTTAGTAACTTTGTAACGACAGTCCAAACACAATGGTTTATGTAATCATTCATTTTGGGTGGGATTTTACATTATGTCAAATCGTGATTGTAGTATTTCTTAAAAGAAGAAAACATTATGGAGTTCGTTTATTGGTGTTCTTTAACAGTTATAATGCGTAGCATATTAGGTATAAGGCATGTCTAATCGGCTGGGAATTTAAGAAAGGCATTTTTCCACACCATCACAATATCAGCCCTTAAATTTTCCATTAGCTTCATACATTCGAAAGAACAAAGTAGCCAAGCGTTTTACATTCCCTCGTAATATATGAAATGCTGTTGATATTTCATTGTTTGAAAAGAGAGACAAAATCTTCAGCTTTTGCCAGCATTAATAGCAGCCTGCACAAAGTCTTCACAGCGGGTGAACCCACCGGACAACACCTCAGCTAGAACCCCAACAATGTCAAAGGCCTCCTGCAAGTCATTGGTAGAATTAATCTCATCAAGCCATGACAGCATCTCCTTGGGGAATCCGAGGAGCTCTTTCACATTAAAGAGTCGCTCTTTCATCACCACTTCCCAACATTCCAGGTTTCCACTTTCATCTTCACTTTCTATTGTAGATGAAGCCCCTTCAGTCCTGACAGGTGTTGCAATTGTTGATTTCTTGACCTTGAAGAAATGTTGTAACAGCTCAATCAAGCCTGTATAGACAAGCATTGGACGAATAATAGACAAAAGACCATTCTGCCCTGTTTCTGTTGAAGCACTTTGGCCCATACTTCCAGAGTCCACCCCATGTGAAGGAGCTGAAACGGATGGTGTACGAACAGTGGACCGAGAATGTGTCTGCTGCATGTATGCATGGTAAATTCCGCGCTGCAGAAAAGCACGGCGATGCTGCAACCAAGACTCATAAGACTCCGAGAGAAATGAGTTCACCATCATAAATTGGACAGTTTCTTCTGTCCCCGGTGTTGGTTGGGTTCCAGATGGAGAAGAGGGTCTGACATCTGATGAGGACGAGGATATGTATGCTGATACAGCTCTGGCCATGCTTCGACGCTGGGATGGGCTGCCTTGATCAAGGAGATGGCGTGCCATTTGGATCATAAATGGGAGGAACCGAGAATTACTTTCCCGTCCACCACCTCGGCAATCAACACTGAAAGATGCTCCAGTTGCAAACCGAGCTAACATCTACAAACATCATGAACCAAAATTCATAAACATCAGATCAAGACAAAATCACTTGATTTAAACAGTATAAAAATAACTGTAGTTACATTCTTTTCTAGAGAAATAATTTGAAACCATCGCTGAGTTATCTAAATGAACCATTTATGTCTGTTGTAAATGTCATAAACTACATTCCTTGATCTGCCTTTTTATTTTTATTTTGTCAGTCAAATTCACCGTTCAAGAAACAGAGATTATATTGCAGCTGAATAACATACCAGAACAATGTCATAAGTCAGCAGGCGGAGCCTACTCCCATCAGCACGTCCAAGTGCATTAAGGTTGTCCCAATACTGGTCAACATAGCGAATATACTGTGCCAGAGGAACAGATGGACCTCTGACAGGGAATAAAGAATTACAGAGAGATTCATTATTTCTAAGTGTTGCTCCATCCCACTCTTTCTTCGGATTCTTCAAAGCAGCATCAGCTCTTTTGGCCTCTTGATGGCACTGGAAATGAATAATATTGAAGTAACTAACGGTGGTGTATACACAGTCTCCTCCACGAGCACTTCCCGAAGAACCAACACCAATATTCACACGCTTACTATAAGAGTACACACCCAGTAAATCAGCTGGTCTTAAACTGTATCCTTCCCGGCATACCATGCATGCCAACCCATCCTCCTCCTCCTGGACATCTTCTAAACCTTCAAGGACAGGCCGAGCAATGACAATGCGTTCACCTCCATCTGAAGATAGTTCTTGACGCATTCCAAGCCCCTGTATCACACATAACAGACAATGCAAAAGGGAACAAGAAATCAGATTCCAATAGAGTTTAAAGTAGAATATATACCACGTGCCATACGAATTGTCAAAGTTGAATGAATATTAAATCTGGTAAAGGAAAAAGTAAACGAGAAATAGACTGAAAAGTGAAAACAACAGAAAACTTTGGCTGAACTTAAATCAGCATTTTCATCGATAAAAGTAACAAATAAAGTACAATCACCAATTTTATATCAAACATGAAAGTTGGAACAAAAAAGAAACAGAGAAACTGGCAAAAAGAAAGCATTTAAACAATCCTCAATCTACTTTTTCCAGTCAAAGAACATGCTTACCCAAGAAAAAACACTCAACAGTTAACATAGTTTTACCATTTCAAACAATATTGTTTATATAATTGAATTATGTAAATAAAGGTATTTATATAAAATACCTGAAGCAATTCCTCTCTCCTTCGCAAAGCCCTGCGTCTCATTTCATCCTTAGTTGCATGCCGCAGATTAGACACCTTCTCCTCCAAGAATCCATCTCCTTTTCCCTCCTTGTTAGATAGCGTGTCCAACAAATTTTCAGCCCTAGCCCCAATTTCATTTTCTCCTGAAACTCCTTCCAAGGCATGCAACAAGGGTAAGATACCTTCCTCATCAATACACTTTTGAGTGAGCAGATGCCCCATTGACAAACCTCTCAGCATAGACAATATAAGCGGGACAGATGGCAGCGTTAAACCCTGTGCCCACTCAGCACTGTTCTTAAAGCCAGCCTGCCCTGCATTGGCAAAGTTATCTTTCAAATGTGTCATTGCAGTTTTAGTTATACCCTTCTCTAGTATAATGTCCTTTAATCTCTCTCCACAGGAACTTGTCTTGAGTGACTCTGAAACCCTAACAAAATTTTCCAGTGTGAACCTCTGCTTTGCAGCTTGCTGAGCAATATTATCATCCTTTGGATTATTCAGATGTTCTTTCTGCAAGTGGTCAAATGAACCCCAATCTTGCAAGTAAGGACTAAAATGCTGGATAAGAGCTTCCATTGCGGCAGGTTCACCATAGGTCAAGTAAGGCAATATTCGAGCAACCATCTCTGTGTTCCTCTGCTGTTTGTTTGATTTCTTAAGGCCCAATGGATGAGACAATCTCTCCAAGAACATAAGAACTATCTTTTTAGCTTGTTCACCTGTCCCAGCTTCTTCACTAGTGACAGTGAGGGCACTTTGTGTGATGCTTATATTGTCACTTTCATTTGCTTCTAAAGTCAGACTTTCAACAATCAACAGTATGCCTTCAGCTGGCTCCATGGCATCCACAAAGAAAGCTCGCCTTGCAGTCTCAAGAAGCAAACCTAAAGCTCCTAACTTCAACAAAGCTCGTCTGTTTTCTCTGATTTTGCAACAGTACATAAGAAGATTAAGAACTGCAACCAGTTGCTCTTGATTGGACTTGAAATCATCTCGCAGACGCTGTGCATCATAAAAAGTGAGAAATTATATTATCAACGTTAAGGTTCCATACTGCAGGATTAGACATTTTACAAAAACATCAGTAATAATGCATGAGAAAATCTGGAAAATGAAAATGAACATTATATACAAACTGCAGTAGTTTTCATTTGAAGAACGTGCCTTGACCAACAAAACGTCACAATAAATCATCAAAGCAATTACTAAATGATGCTGTCAGGTACAATGACATGGTCTGGTTTATGTGAAAGAAGAAAAAATAATATCAAAGGAAAAGAAAGAACTAAACTTCAAAACTACACCATTCTCGGTGAAAAGAACCATGATGTGTTAGGATTTTCCCCTAACCTAAAATAAATCTCATTGTATTTGAGATTTGTTAGTACTTTTTAACGGACAACTAACACAATTGAATTTTAAAAAGTAAAGTTAAATAAAAGTAAAATTCAATATTGCACACCTAAATCATAAATGGATTATATACCCACTTGGTTTTGCTTTTGCCCCATATAACTTGAGAGATGTAAAGCATTTTGGATGATTTTTTTTTTTCAATAAATATAATCATATCAACATGTTAATGTTGTTTTTGTTGTAATTGATACTTCTACTACTATACTGGGCTACAATGTTGTAGGCCACAGTGTATTAAAAAACAACACATGGAAAAAAAACAGAGCATACACTGGTCTGACTTATAAAGACTTGCTAGCAGATAGCAATGAACTTAAACACTCGTAAACGTCACATACAGGTGACACATTTCCAAGAAGCTGTCAAACTGATACATTAATGCACAATTGATGTATTTCACAATTCCCATACATCGCAGCTAATTTTTTAATTAAAACCGAGTATTCATCAATGTGTGCCACTATAAACAATGTGTGGCAAATGAACAGAAGGTATCTATATAATGCTAAATTAAAATTAAAATTTCCAAAATGTTCAAGTCAACAGGTATGTGAAAAAAGTGCTAACCTGAATCATATCCAATAGTATCTCCAGTCCACCACACTCACGAACAGCACCTGCTATGGCAAACTCAACCTCTGGATCCTGAGACTCCTCTCTATCTTCCTCCAACTCTTTAATCATAGGCTCAGTTGCTTCACCATCCAATCCCTGGAAATGATATATCATAAAAAAAAATAGTATTTAAATTCAAAACCAAATGTAACAAATAAGCCAAATCACATGCTCAATTATAGAAACATACCTGGAGCCGATAAGTCACTGTCATGGGTGGGCAATCTCTGGATGAGTTGACAGCATTTGGAGATAACAAGTTGGAATTAGTAATGTTTGATGATTGATTTGATTTCTTCCAGACTTGCTCATAAACTTGTGCAATGCTCAAATCAAGAGAGATAATATTGCCAGCAACTAACAATTCCATTCCATAGTCATCCTCAAGAAGACCTAACAAATCCAACTGATGGCAGATCTTGTTCTTAACATCACGCATTAATGGGCCAATTTCAACACTCGAATACGGATTCTTAGTCATTGATCCCCTTATGAACTCTTCCTGCGTATGTGCTTTGTTCAGGACCAACAAATATACAGGCTCTGGTTTTGAGGGGCAGATCACATTGCAGAGTTGCTCCAAGATAAACTGCAAATGCAGGTATAGATCACATAAAACTAATAATAAGCCAATGTAAAATTTGATTATAAATTTAACACCAAATATTTGTGTTAAATCATATTCCTACGAAAACAAATTGATACTTTGTTGAATACAAAATTGCTACAACTGATTTAGAGGATAAATGAGTTATAGAAAGGAAAATAAAAAATAAATTCCATCCATACCAGACAAGCACGCCCCTTTCTTTCCTCCCCGTGTATTTCCAGACCATTGATGCACGCCCTAATGAATTGTCGCTTGTTCTCGCTGCTTTCCAGCAGCAGACTATCTAACAGATCTTTAAGGAGCCGATTGCAATCACTTATCAACTTTGTCTTTTGAACTATCAAGCCACGAATTACAATAAGTGCCTCAAGAATTTCAGAAAGCAAGTCATCTCGCATGAATCTGGAAAAAAAATATTCATATGAGATGATGTAAAGCAAAATTTAACCTCAAAAGTAAAATTATTCAAGCAGAAATTGTACCTTGATCTAATATTTGGAACCTCCAAAAATTTACCAAGAAGCTCTATGAGTTTGTGAAGGATAAATCCCTGGGTTATATCAATGTGTAGACTCCTCTCCAAAGACTCAACATTACTCACTTCTTGGGTAATTAGACTACAAATTGTCCGTAGACATCCACGAATGGTCAAAAATAAAAGAGCCTCCTCTGAATCTACCATCTTGAATAGCAACTCAAAATACTCTGCAGCACTCTCACCAGCAGAAAGTGTTGCAGGTAACAAAGAAACAACTAGGTTCAGCAATCGAAATCTTCTGGATGAACTTTGAGCACAAAGCATGCTTATGAGTGTGCACATCTCTGATCTAATGGATTGGGAACAAGCACTCAAAACAAGTTCTTTAACCCAGGATCCCAACTCAAAGACAGATAAGTCACTTTTAGCTGCTTTTCCTGCACGACGCTTCCACCTCAGAGCATATTTAAGTGCCAGGTAATCATGCCTTTGGGGTCGTGACCTCTGGCCAGTAACTTTGACAGCCTGAGACACTTTATATTGCCTTCTAACAAAATCAAGATAGGAAGCTCCCCTCTCCCATTCTGAATAGCTCAATAGTTGAATATCTCGTGTCTTGGGTGTGGCATCCCAATTTCTTTCTGATGAGTCTGAAAATGTTTTTGTTCCACTGACAGTGACAGCAGCAGTCAAGGACCCAGATACATTTTGATTACTCTCGTCCTTTGTATTTGCAGAAGATTTCCCAAGGCCTTGCTCTTTGTCTGGTGTATCAGGTTTTGGAGGTGTGCATGCCTGAGATATAATTCTCAGACAAGGAAGAATGACATGCTCAGATATGGCAGGATGCTTGGCACCTAACTTGATTGAAGAAAACAATAATTGAAACACAAGACGTAATCTTGATTCCCAGAATTCATCAGCCAAAGAACACACCTCAGAAAGTAATAACAACTCCTCACGTGTAGTCACTGCAATGTCCATGGAGCGATGATGCTCAAGGCAGTACAAAACTTTCTTTTGTATCAGACTGTTCAGCTCAGTAACTGCATTTACATCACCTTCAGATAAAGAACAAAGAACTGTCCTCGCTTGGACACGGGCAGCTTTAGCACCTTGATGAATGTTATTCTCAAACAACTCAGACAAAATGCCAGCTGAAACAAGTTGTTTCTTAGAATTTGGATGCCTTGCTAGCACCTGCAATAGTTCCAGACATTGTGTTACAAATGTATTTGCACAGCCATAGCAATTATTTGGAGATCTGGAAACCACAAATCTTGAAGCCACACTGGCATCAGAATGCTTCTGGTGCAGATAATTCATCAACACCTTGCGTAGCCCTTGCAGTGTTTGGACACTTTTGCTGACAGAATCAAAAGCTGCTTTGCACTTCTCACCATATAGCACTCCGAGAAGAGCAATCTTCCTGTTGATCTTACATGAGGGACCAGGTAAAGAAACCATCATTTGCTGTACAGAGTCCTTCTGTTGAGAGTCTATTTCACTGTCACCAATGCTTGATACAATCTTAAGCAAGGGCTTTTTAAAGCCCAAAAGTTGCTGGTATCTCCTATGAGCATTCTCTGACTCAGATTCTATGGCTGCCAATCCCTTCTTCATATCTTCATCATTCTCCATATTATCAAATGTAAAACTTGGCTTTGCCATGAAATTAAACTCAAACCGCCCATATTTACTGTATCCACACTCATTGCATAGAAAAGAATCCAAATTCTCATAATTGATGTTGCGACATTGCCTACATTGATAAGCATTTTCATGACAATTGCTGCATATACCATGTTTATCTGTGACTGGACGACTACAACGTGGACATTGCAATGGTTCAAGAGACAATGCCTGAAGATTTTCATAGAATGAATCCAGTTCAATCATAAAGTTACAAGCTGTAATTGGAATGGAAAATTCAACTTTAAGTTCTGTCTGATTGAATGCAAGATGACAACTTTTTGCACGCTTCCATAAAGACCAGTTATTTTTCAACTCTGATAAGTCAGTGACTGGCCTGTTATTGTAGTATAGGTTCAAAACCTTCACTGATTTTGACTTTCTGGCATCATGAACATTCATCGTCACAGTCTGGATTGTGTAACTCCCAGTGCATTTCACTATGATCCGGTTGTCAGTGAATTTTGTTTCAGATTTCAGAGTATCTAGCTTCATCCTGCTGTAAGGTACTTCAGGAGTGCTGCAGGCAACACAAGGTTCGCTCTCAAGATAGTATCCATCAAATTCCACTAAGCCACTCAAAGTATTATATATGCGAGAATTTGGATGGTTAGCTAACAGCTCATTCTGTGAATGGAGTGTCTCAAAGATACATCTAATTACATCAGGTGTCAAGCATTGGTCCACAAGTTCAGAAATCTTGTGTTTTGAACTAGTATCAGGGGATCTTCCAAGCAACCATGAAACAAGTTCTGTATACTCCACAATATTCTGACCATACATGGGGAGGAACTTAACTTTCTGCAAGAGTGCTGTTAGCATGGTTTCCTTAAATGTTGGTTTGGCATGATGCCAGACACCATATAAAACTAACTTAGCTTCTGCACGCACAGTAATGGAATTCCACTCCAGAAGGAAACAATCTATGAACTGTTTCAAAATATTGCTACTCTTGTCAGTGAAGACATCTACTGCTGCCTCCATATCCAAATAGGACTTCTCAGAACCAGATTCAGCTCCATCTTCACCCTTCTTTTTTTTCTTTGATTCCTGAGATGCAATGCTTGATTTGTTTGAACTTATGTCTCCAGACTCCATCTTTTGCGTAGTGTGACCAATATCTTTTCCTGTATAGAAGGCAAAATTGAGAAGTTTAAGAGTCTGAATAACAGACTCTTCACCGAAATAAAATATTCCATTCATCAGAAAAGACAAAATATCTCCATGCCTTAAACAGTACTTCTGCCAGTTCCGAGGCCGTGCAGCTGCAACTTCTGCCATAGTGGAGAGGCATTTCACAATCTTTACACTTCTTTCATATGGGATGGGATTATTTTGAAAACCACCAGATTTGTTTATGTGTTTATAAAGTCTCTTGGCTTCACTAGAGAATTGCCAAGAGTCTCGAACACTGTAATAATGAGACTTGCTTCCACACAGATGCAGGAAAAGCCTCCTGGCATATCTTCTTACAAAATTGGTGTGAGGATTGTTGATGTAGCTGCAGAGAACATCTTGATAACCATCAAGCTTTAAATCCTTACCATATGATAACTTGTAGACCTTTTCCTTTTCCCCAGTTTTTTCATGCTTTTCTGGCCGAACAAGGGTGTAAACCAATCGGAAAGCATTCTCTAGCAAAAGCCTGTGATAGTCCATAAAGATATCTGTGCGATGCACTTTGGCATACGAATCAGAAAAGAAAGGTGAAAAATTACCAGCTGGTAAATCTCTACGGACTGTTAGGAGAGCCCCACATCCAGGCCCGGCATTACTATGCACACCTTCATTGTTAACAGGAGATTTGAAAACATACACTAGCTGCTGCAGTATATCCATTAAATAGTTTACAAAAGATTGCTGCCTAAGCGAATCACAAGCTCGAAGCAGTTGTGATGCAAAGTCAGTCTTCTCTTGGTCATCTAGTGAAGTCTTGGAACTGGCTGAGGTGGATGATGAAAAATGGATTACGTTTTTATCATGCATGTCAGAAGTTCCAGTCTGTCTTGGCATGGAACTGTCACTACCAGGCTGATGCCAGTTTCTAAGCATCAATGTGAAAAACATGAAGACCAGGATTGCAACTTCCCCAAATGATGAACGGGTTCTGGCTTCAAATGGCCTGTTGAGCTTTATCTCATCCAAAAACCACTTGATTAGTTTTTCTAAATCTAAGCTGTCTGGCTTTGAGCTGTCTATGAAAGGTCCACCTACAGCAGATGACAACCTGTAGAAAAGCTGCATAACAGGGATTGCCTGAACTCCAGAGGTCGTATCCATCCATCCTCTCAACTGTTCAAGAAGCTCAGAAAGAAGTAAAGAATTTATGGCCCGTTTTGAAGCAGAGATTGAGATAGGATCAGTTAATGAAGCAGCAAAATCCCCAGAATCATTAGGTTCCAAGACATGAATGGATGGAGAAGAATTCTGCATGTTGCTATCAGCAGGTACAGGCAGCAGGTTCTGGTCACTAACATCGTCAGCTGTAAAGTGAAATTCATTGCCATCACCTACTGAATCCACTTCAATTGGTATCGCCGTCATAGGATGATCTCTAGAATGTGGTGGAGGAAGTCGATCTGCATCTAGTTCATAACAAGCCTCACACAAGTCAAAATCAGGACAAACAGTACAATGCCATCTTCGCCTTAGTATAGGTACTGTAGAGCAACCGTCACAGCAATATTGCACAGATGAAGTGATATTGTCATCTTCAATCATAATTTGGTTATTTCCTGTACTTGGGTCAGCAGGGCCAGGAACTGACACTACACTCTCAACAGCATCATCTGTAGTCAACATGGTCTGCTTTGGAAAAGGAACCTGAAGCAATCTTGAAGATATGGCCAAACTGGGGGGAAAAATGTTTGAAAACCTGATGTCAAATTCAGAGCCAAAAGAAAAAAAATGAAAAAAAAAAGGAATGATCTATAATACCTGCTAGCAGTTTGAACAGCCTCGTTGGACGAAAAGAGAAGCTTCTTGAGTAATACAACAGCAGGTGCAACAGAATGCACTCCCGCATCTTTTCCCTGTAGGTCCAAGCATTCAGCATAGCAATAAATAAGTTCAACTGCAGACATAACAATGTTGTTCATGGTTTGTGTGTCAGGCTGTTCAAAGTCCAAAATTCCCCATAAAACTTGCATAAGTGCATCCACCACTTCTGAGCCTACATGAAAAAAAAAATACAATATATCATATTAGAATGGTAGCAAATACAACAAATATGTCCACATCGCAGAATGACTATTCCAAGTCAAGTTAGCACAGTAGGTTGAAGTTAGTCAAGTTTACGGCTCTACGAGTTTACAAAATTTGTAGCAAGTTTACATAAATTGTCAAAGGCATAGGTATCAACTCAGAAATAGCAAGTTTAAAGTTGAGAAATGTATCATGTTTATTCTGAATAGCCCAAAATTAATAACACACGAATAATAATATGAACAACATTTAATCAATAGACATCAGAATTAAAACATTTACTAAAATTATGAGAGTATTTTCTTTAGAAGAAATATTTTTCCCCTCAAATTGCTTACTCATATCTGAGATCATGCAAACTAAAAATTCCAATATTTCTATGTTTACTTGGTTGGCCTCAATCTCAATCACAAAATAGGATCCTACAAGTTCCTAGCTTCCTTGTATACCGCTCAAGATCCTTGAGTAGTACTTCAATACTTTCCAGGTCATGGCATATTAGGTCAATTTATTTTATCCATAAGAATTACAATGATGACAAAAAGGTTCAAATCTTGGACCCAAAGCATACTACACCAACCCCTCCACCACTAGGCCAACCCTAGTAATTCATATTAGTTCAATTTGAATCCAAACAAGCTGGAAACATGTTCTATTGCAATAAAAATGAATTTGGTTGATTTCTTCGTGAACTGAACCATAATAAGTTTCATCATTATTACATAATAAGTTGCTTTCAATTTTCAGCTCACAACTCAAAAGATCAAATACCATTACAAATAAAGGACGATTAAGAATTTAGAAAAACAATGTAGATATTTTGTAGGAAGAAAGAATTTTTTTTTATTTTTAAAACAAAATGCCAAAAAATCAAGACTTGATTTTGAGAACAGAAGATGACATTCAAAACCGTATATTAAATCAGGGATGTAAGACTTGGGAATTAGGAGATAAAATCTCATTGTCATGAATTAGTCATAGCATGCAGCAAACATCGATGTTCGATTGTTCAAATTATTTTGGTTTAATACCACATATATCCTATGTTGTCAATAGCAATGCCGTTGGGTTGGGTAGCATTTCAACGTTGCGGCTGCAACAGTCGTGAATCAGTGAAGCAGGGAAGTTTGCAAAATTTTGAAGATACCCTCACTTAATGAGGGTATTTTTGTATTTCCCTTTGAATAACTTTTTTCCTTTTGCGCCTTTTAATCGAGCTAGTGTATGTCGTCGCTCCTCCTGTCTTCCTACCGCCCTATCTTCGTCTCCCAGCGGCTCTCCTACAGATTTATCTTCCTCTCCAGTGGCTCTAACAATTGAATCTTTCCAAGAGGAAAAGGGGGTTGGAGCGCCTAACTGCTGGGGTCTTAGGTTTACACTTTACAGTGAACAAATTAGGATTGAAAATTTGGGCCTATGGGCCCAAATTCTTTATATATTTATTTTTCTCCTTTTTTGGTTTGGTTTGGTGGGCCTAATTAGGTAACAAAATATTAATTTAAGGCTTTAAACACTGTTTCCTAGACTTTCTATTTTATGTTCAAGTACTAGAATTTTTTTTCTTGAAAATGATTAATGCATAAAGTCTATCTTACTGTTTTTAGAGCTTGTATATTATTATTATTATTATTATTATTATTATATACACACGTGTGTGTAATATTAGAATAGTGGTCATCCTGCTATCCCACTTTTGGGGTCGGCCATTCCACTCCACTATCTAGGATTTACAACTATGCATGTATCATCCAAAAAAGACAATCTTGTTCCAAACAGATAGGACTACTATTGGTGTCAAAACAATCCCTCTGTGATTAACGCAGCTTGCACTTGAGTTCCCATGGATGTTTATATTGACCAGACCATGTCTATTGCTTACTTATCTCTCTATGCTGTGTTTAAAAATAGACAATTTCCTATGTATTTTAAGATTCAATCAAAGACAACAATACCATTTGTCTCCAGAAATGTTGCTAAATTTGAGCGACGTTGCAATGCAATCTTACAGACTGCACGCATCTGGGTGGTGAACTCTTCGATGATCCAACTTCCTGCAGTACCACCTAGCCCAAGCCTTGAGGATAGTAGTGAGGAGGATTTTACCACCCCAAGAAGTCGCATGGTATCCTTGACCTAATGTGAGAAGAATCCAGTTAGTAATAATTAGCACCACATAAAATAGATAAGCAGAAATAATGAGCAAAACAAACTTGCTATAGAACCAAATCATAGTATAGATTACTTGATGGTATATCTCTTTCTTGGGAAAAACTGCCTGTAAGACACAACTAGCTGAAGCCTGCAGAATTGGTTCCCTGTCACATTCAAATATTGTTTCTAGTAATGACTTGCACTTGAGTTTCCCAAGTTCTGTTCTGGCTTCCTCAAACCTTGAACAATCCTGTTGCCTACATGATGAATAAAACTTCGTAATTAGCTTAAGCCCATCTGCTATTACTTGCTCCTGCATAGGAGCAGACTGCATTGATCGGCGCTTCTTTCCAGATCCACCAAGTGATGAATTTGAACCAAGTACTCTTGCTTCCATATCTAAAATTGCATCCATTTTCTCTTTCCAACCAAATTCATCTTTAGCTCGGCCATAAACTTCGAGTGAGTCTATTCTGGGGAGTGTTGAGCCATTAAAGGTTGGCCCAACTGAGATTGTAAATTCTTCATCTGCAAGAAGAGACTCTGCAACTGTAAATGGAATATCATACCAGGACCTCATTCCTTCATCTAATTTAACAACCCTTTGGAAAATAGAAATGCTAGAAGGTATGTGACTTGCTGATGTATTTCCCACATGAACTCGAAAACCAACCATGACTATATCAGGATTTGAATTGAAGACAGATATCTGTAAATAATACATAAAGGAAGAAATTAGGGAGATAAAAAGTTATAATCAAGCACTTCCGATAGACACAGCATCAAAAGCAACTAACATACAACACAAATGTACGGGTTACAAAGAACACCGTATAAAAAAACCACCACCCATGTATGTAATCATCATCATACCAGCCTTTCTATCTTTAGTAGCTGGATAAAATAAATATAATTACACAAAACCCAATGCCCAGGTCAAACTTTGTAAATAATAATGCGCATCGGGCACTACTTATTCAACTAAGAATCCATACATTTCCCCCTATATTTAATAAAACTTAGAACATAAAAAGGAGGCAAGGAAAAAGGAGTTCTGCAACTATATGACCATCTTGGAGTATCAATTATAAAGAGCAAAACCAGATTATTTGGGGTCTGTTTGGCTAATAAAACATTTCCTATTTCTATTTTCTGAAAATAGTTTTCATTTACAAATTTATAAGATTTAGAAAGCATTTTTTTTAGAAGTTATTTTGTGTTTCCAAAAGGTGAAAAAACTAAAGCATGTTTAGTTTAAGTATTTAAAAAAAAAATTAAATGTTTTTATTATATATTTACAAACAAATTTTAATAATAAATATATATTTATATTGATAATTGTTAATTTATGTATGTTTGTATATTTTATATATATATATATATATATATATATAT